TTTTCTTTTTCTCATCTTCTAGTTATGATTGTCAAGGAGGGGAAGATGATCTACTAATTTATATTGTAACTCATTATGTCAGTGCCCTAGATATTCCTGCTCTTGCTCGGCCACTTATTGTCCATGTCTGTTTCAAACAATTATAGACTTAGACAGCATGCCCTTTATCAATCACTTCGCTATTGGATCTAGTCTCTAATGATCATGATCCTAGTCTTCATCTCCATATTACTCTTCAAAAAAGTTAACATCAGTGCACTTATCCTATTTCATCCTTTATTTCTTATGATCACCTGTATTTTTTTTCTAGTTCGTTTGTAGCATTCTCAGATTCTGTTTCAATTCCTAAAATTGTTCATGAAACCCTGCCTCATCTTGGCTGGTGTGCTATTATGGTAGAGGAGATAGTGGCCTTAGATGCTAATGGTACTTGGGATTTGGTTGATTTGGCTATTAGGAAGAAAGCTATTGGGCGCAAATGGGTATTTTTTGTAAAGGTAAATCGTGATGGATCAGTGGCTCATCTTAAAACTAGTCTTATTGCTAAAAGGTATACCTAGACTTATTATGATCACTTGTATTCTTTTTTCTAGTTCATTTGTAGCATCCTTAAATGCTGTTTCAATTCCTAAAACTATTTATGAAGCCCTGCCTCATCCTGGCTATCATGCTATTATGGTAGAGGAGATGGTGGCCTTAGGTGCTAATGGTACTTGGGATTTGGTTGATTTGCCAACTAGGAAAAAAGCTATTGGGTGTAAATGGGTATTTGCTGCAAAGGTAAATCGTGATGGATTAGTGGCTCATCTTAAAGCCCATCTTGTTGCTAAAAAGTATACCTAGACTTATGGTGTTGGTTATTTTGATACTTTTTCTCTAGCAGCTAAACTCACTTTTGTTTGTTTATTCATCTTTACCTATGATGGGCCTTTACATCAATTAGATATCAAGAATGCTTCGTTACATGGCGACCTTCAAGAGGAAGTGCATATGGAGCAACCACCTGGGTTTGTTGCTTAAGGTGAGTATGGGAAAGTCTTTCATCTTCAAAATCTTTGAATGGCCGAAAACAAAGCCCCGTGCTTGGTTTATCAAATTTAGTGAGGTAGTTTAGGAGTTTAGGATGAAAAAGAGTAAGTGTGATCACTGAGTGTTTTATAAACAGTCTGAGGCTAGCATAATCTTACTAGTTGTGTATGTTGATGATATTGTCATTACTAAGAGTGGCATTGTAGTATTTTATCTCTCAAATCTTTTCTTCATACCTAGTTTTAGACAAAAATTTAGGCTTATTGAAGTATTTCTTGGGTGTTGAGGTGACAAGGAGTAAGAAAGGTATATTTTTTTCTTAAAGAAAATATGTTCTTGACTTGTTGACGGAGATACAAAAATTAGGTGCTAAGTCGCATAATGCACCAATGACTCCTAATTTGCAACTCTCAAAAGAAGATGTTGAATTGTTTGAAGACCTTGAAATGTATAGAATGCTGGTTGGAAAATTGAATTATCTTACAGTGACTCATCATAATATTGCATACTCTGTTAGTGTTGTAAGTCAGTTTATGTTTACTCGAACAATTAACCACTAGGCAGCTTTGGAGCAAATCTTATGTTATCTGAAGGGGGCGCAAAATATGGTCTATTTTATAGAAATCATGGGCACACTAATATTAAATGTTTTTCAAATGTAGATTGGGCATGTTCCAAGATTTATAGGAGTTCCACTACAAGATATTGTGTTTTTATTAAAAGAAATTTAGTCTCATGGAAAAAGTAAGAAATGGAATGCACTATCTTGGTCTAGTGTAGAATCAGAGCACAGAGCTATGGCCCAAACTGTGTGTGAGGTAGTATGGATGTATCAATTATTAAGTGAAGTTGGTCTTAAGTCTTCTTTGCTGGCAAAGCCGTGGTGTGATAATCAAGTTGCTCTCTATATTGCCTCCAATCCCGTGTTTCATGAACGCTTTAAGCATATAAAAATTGAATGTCATGTTGTTCGTAAAAAGATTCGACACAAGTTCATCTCTACATGATATGTTAAAATTGAAGACTAACTAGGAGATATCTTCAAAAGCATTGAATGGAGCTCGAGTTGATTACATTCGTAGCAAACTAGGCATGATTAACATTTATGCTCTAGCTAGATGGGAAGTGTTATAGAATAGGAAATCTATAAATATTTTTTTATTAATTAATGCAATTATAGGAATTAAGAATCACCATAATTACAGGGATTTTTTTCTTTGTTCTTTTCCTATTTTAAAAATGCTTAAGTTGTATATATAGATGATGCATTATGAATGAATTGTGCTAAGTTTTCTCTTCCAAAATAACGCATACCATGACACATTTTAGTTAAGCATTACTATAGATGGAAATGCTCACATCCATATAATCACATTATTATCATAAAAATACATTTACTATCATTACATAACTTCAGGTGGGTATAACAACTTCCACTGTTCATTCCCTTAGCATTCATATATGCCATTCTCATCATCATACCATTAGGATCGTTTTGATTAAACCAATTGAAAGAGACTTCTCCCCCTTTGTTGCAAACCAAGATGTAATAGGGATATTTACATGCATAGTAGATTTGAAAACTTTCTTAGAAAACATTTGCCTTTAAACATATTTGATTTATTGAAAACATTATAGCATTGATCCATGAAAATAATCCAATCAATAAATAATGCATAGCTTTACCATATAAAATACTTTAAAGTGGTGTATCCACTCACCTTGACAAAAAGTGTACTTCTAAGCCTAGCTTTGTCAACCCTTGCTTGTTCTACGATTCTCGAGCACAACTAAACCTATCACAGTAATTCTAGTATAAATTTCCTAATTTTCCAACAAACCCATTTATTTGAAACTAGTCAAGTAAACCTATATTCTTCATTTCCTGCCAATAATTCATAAAACTTCAAACCCAAAGCTTTAATAATGAAACCTTAAACATCATTATCTCAAACACTTCCTTGGAGGGTAAAATCCATCAGCTATTCCATTAGTAACTTCTGCTAATGATTTACTACTAACGAAATTTTTTGACGGAACATTCCGTCGGTAAAGCGTGAATTTTTGGCAGTGGTTATGCTTGATTCTTGAAAAGGCGTATAGGTTCAAACTTAGCCTTGAAAAGTTAGAGAGATTGTGCCATATCTTTGAAAAGGCGATGTATTGATTTTGATCAACAGTGGATTGAACTTCTTAACTTGTTAAAGAGGACGTAAGCAACTAAAGAAAGGGTCGAACCTCTATAAATCAATTGTGTAATTCTCTCTTTGCTCTTCACTCATACTTTTGTGCATTTTATTTAAAGACTTCAACAAACTTATTTTAACTTGTCTATTCATTATCTTTCAAAAAAAAATAAAAAAAACCTTGTCTATTCATTAACTTAGTCATCAAATTACTTTTGACATTTTTTGATTGAAAACAAATTTGAGAACTTATACCTTGCTTGCCCTCATTGAAAAGTTTGATTTGTGAAAAAGAATCTTTAAAAACTTAATTCACCTTCCCTCTTGGATTACTTTGCATTATATTTGAGCTAATATTTCTAACATTAATGAATTTAAAAGTCAATTGAGAATAAGTTAGTTATTACTTATAAACTAAATATAATTTTAAAGTACACTGATAAGTGAGAATATGAATACAATTAGTTTAAATTTTTAATAAAATCAATTATTGTCTGGATATTAAAATTAACTATACTTAAGTAAATATTTTTATTGATTTTTTTTAAAATGAAAATTATATAGTTTATACTAATATAAAATAAAGTTAACATTCAAGTACTGAAGTGCAAAAATTTAAGCCACTCTGGTCTTCATAATCAATATCCAAATGTTCAAAAGTTGAATTAAATTAACATTATATCAACTGGTTTTAACTTTTAAATACATGACTTTATATACTTTATGAATTATATATAAGTTATAAAAAATAATTAATAAGGTTAATAGTTCTTTTTATTAACGGTAATTGATACTCCTTTTAATATTGTCCGCTATTCACTTTGATTAGAAATTTGTCTATAAAATTATAGCTAATGTTAGTTATATTAAAATTTAAGTCTGAACCAATAAATACATAAATAAGAAAAAAATTCTTTAAAAATTGAACTATTATTAGAAAATGATAATAAATAAAGATAAAAAAATAAAAACACATAAAAATACTAATACTGAGTTCTAATATATATAAAAAATGATGATTCATTTATATTTATAAATAGTTATCAATAGTTTTTTCAATTTTATTTTTTTTATCATATTTTTATCTTAAGTTTATTGAATTATCGACGATATAGATTGATTACGAAAAAAGAAAAATTATTAAAATTTTTGTATAACGACTCAAAATTCGTGTTAATCCGCTTTAATGTATCACAGTCTGAACTGAAAATCATTACAAGAATATATTTCGAGATAGGTCAAATCTAACACAATTTGAATTTGAAATGATATGAACATCAGACGACCTCAACTCAAAAATTTCGAACACAAAGCAAATTTGAATCCTGAATGGATTGAAACCGAAACAATTTGAATCCAGATGGACCAAATTCAAAACAGTCTGGAGACAATTCAAACTCGAAATAACCCGAACCTACAAATTTGCCAACTCTAATAGTAATAAACTATATTGTGCCGTCTAAAATACCATCAATAATACTTTTATCAGTTAGTTGATTGCAACAATAAAAACTCTATTTATGGACAGCAATAAGTTATATACGTTAACGGCAAGAGGAAAAATGAAAAATTAAGAAAGGGGGTTATGGTGGCTACCGGCGATTAGGCAGGGCCAATAAAGGAGCAAGATAATAATAAATGTTACGATGAAAACCAAAACCATGGAACTAAAATGCAATAAAATTTTTCTAAAATGACTTATAACAAAGATGTAATTAAAGATAAACAAAATTAAAATAAAACATTTAAGTTTCAATCTTTAATCAAAGTAGAGATAAAGGCCTAATTAACTATGACTAGCTACTAGCTGACATCAAAACCATCCAAACTTATTTTAAGTTGATTCACTTAATTATTAATTAAAGCCAGCTAAAAATACTTGATAAGAATCTAATAGAACTCAACTAGACGATTTGTGATAGCCCAGATGATGTTACAATAATGTTTGAATTCCTCGTTTTTGTCATGTAATGGTGAAGGATTAAATGCTGGAATTCTCAAGTCATGTTCACAAGCCTCAGCCTCCTCCAACGCGGCAAGTGCTTGAACTCTCACCCCACGGTAGTCGTGTTTGCTCAGCAGCCGCTTGGCATCCATAAGGCCAGCGACGGCCTCCTGGTAGTTCTGGGAACAAAGCGTGTAAGCTTCTCTCACAATGTAGTTCTCCGCTTGTTTGATGAGTGGAGAGATTTCCACCTGGGTTTCGTCTGCACTGGCGAGTGCTAGCTGGATTGAGATTTTGGCCAGGCCATGAAGACTGGTTTGGTTTGCATGGAGAGTTTCGTTGGAGAGGACTTTTAAGCAGAAGGAAGGCGCTGGAGTCTTGGAGCAGATGGTGATGATTTCAGCATCGGTCACGTTTGGGCTTGGCTTTCCAAATGATGGGTTGATGAAGCAAATTGCAAAAGAAAGAGCAACAAGCAAGGAGGAACGAATAAGTGAGGCCATGTCAATTTCCAATTCAAATGATGGCTAGTAGCTAGTGTTACTTCAACCTCCAATACTTCCGGGTAGTGACTGCTATATAGTTGGATCATCTCTGGGGATCTTAAGGAGTTAAGACAGTCAGAAAAAAACTGAAGATTACATTAAAGATGGAAGAAAAAACCGTGGTCAGAGAGAAGTCTCTTCAATTTTATGCATAACTGATGAGGGTGTTTAAATCGGAAGCTTCGCTTACAGCAATGTGCTGTCTCATCACGTTACATTTTTTTCAGTTTAATTATTAATTCTCTCTAATATAAGTCCAAAATCGGCCATGTTCCTGTTTTCTTTGGCTGCCACGTGGGTGGGCAGCATGGGGAGAACTATAAGCTGAGCACCAACATGTTAGGGTACCTTTCAGCATTCACATTTGGTTATGTTTTTTGGTTTTTTTTTTCTTTTAAGGAATGCACATGGATAGATTTCATTAGTTTCAGGGATAGATAAAACTAAGGTTACTGTCGATATATTACTAGGAATATGATTGTTAAGAATATAACTTTACAACGTTTGGTATAATAAAAGAAAGTAACGATTGCAGAGAATGTGATTGCTAAGAAGATTATATTGTAATGTTTGGTTTGTAAGCATTTTACTAAGAGTGTAATGTAAATTGACAACATTACTCTTATGTATAAAAAACATATAAGTTGAATAAATTTATAATTTTTAATATAAAATTTGACTTTTCAATTATAAGTAATTACAATAATAAATAATAACATTAAAAGGAAAACACGATATTTTTAAATATTTATTAAAATGTTGAAATATTTATAAATTTATAAATATCTATTTTTCTTAAACTTATTAAAATAAAAAATAATAATGGTATTTTGGAATTATGACAAGACTAATATAAAAATATTATGCAATAATCATGCTGTTGGACCTACTCTTCATTAAAAACTCAATTTTGCCCCTTTTACATGAATTGGAATGTAAAACATTGTTCTTTGACGTCCATATGATAGCCTCGATCGATATATAATATAATCTGTCGATGCTTACAATCTGGTACAATATTTATCAATAGCTGGTTCAAAATCTGTCGATAGATGTGTACATTAATCAGAAGATGAACCGGCATGTATCGATAGATTTATAATTTATCAATAGCTTGTTTGTTGAAAAGCATACATGACGCTTCCTCGCTCTCATAACCACAGCATCCAAAACCCTTTTTCTCTCAAATCCTCTCAAGTTCATAATAAATTTCTTTAATTCTAAACTGTTTTAAGGGTTTGCCTCTCTATTTTCATCCTCAAACTCACAAATTAACCAAGGGTTGCTTTCAAATTTTATCAAAAATTTAGTTTAGGGTTTCATAAAACCCTAGGTCTCAATCCCCCCAATTATTGGATTCCCTTGCGTTTTGAAGGATATTCTCTCGATCAAAACATTTCCCTCATCCTCTTCGACATTTTTGCCAAATCGTTTAAGAACAAAACACCTCAAGCCTCTAAATTTCATAATTTCTAAAAAAGAGTCACAAACCTAAACTCACAAAGGTGACTCATAGCAGGGGTTCAAGTGGCTCTGTTTCTGCTAAAACATCCTTAGGCTTGGTCGTGAGTTCGTTTTTGCAAAATTTCAATCATCCATCGTGCGTTGAAAAATTCAATACCAATTTCTCCAAACACAAGGTAATGCCCAGACGTATAATTGACTTTGATTATTAAAGTCCATTGATTTTTCATACCTTGCGAACTTCAAAAATTTAGGGTAAACACGTTATTTACAATTGAATAGGAAATACTATGAGAGTTTGGTTCAAATCTTTTACTTCAATGAAACACAAAAATATGCTGAGTTAGAAACAGGTTCGCTAGTGAACCACGACGATACATTTGTCACCCACATCATGGGACAATGGATCCTTGTTACTCATGAGCTGATAGAACGAGTCCTTCACGTTATTTCATTTCGAAAAAATTTTCGCTATGTCTTTGATAAAGGTGACCTTCAGTCGGCATTTATCTACCCTCCACTAAATGACAGAGGTAGTTCTAATCACACAAGGCTATGCTTCTTTGATCAAGTATTGCACCTCATCATCATTTACAGTATCCGTCCTCACAGCTCGAACTACTCCACTGTTGCCACCGAGGACCTTTGGTTGTTATTTAACATCAAATTAAATTACCGTATTAACCTTGCTAAATTCATCAAGGATGACATGCTTCGCACCATTTAAGGGGGCATCAAAAACCTACTTTACAGCATGTTGATCAGTTAGATCATAGACTACTTCAAAGTTGACACCCATTGTGATCCGTCCAAAACCATGATTTGTTCAATTCTATCGATGACCATAGTATTAAAAAGCAAGTTTTGAGTTCAAAAATAATAATTGGGTTAGGAAAAGGGCAGTCAATAATTCGGTATTTGATGAAGAAATGAATGGGGTAAGCCAAGTGCATATCATAGTGGGCCATCTACTGCTAAATCTAGTGCACATATTTCCACCACATTCGATGTTGAGCAAGCCTTCACTAGACTTCTCTCATTTATGTAAACAATGGACTCTAGGTTGGCTGACTGTATGGATTTGTTGAAGGCACAAAATCGTGAGATGTTGCAGTGCCAAAAAGACTTGATGGATCAATTTCGTTTTCAATTTCCACCACCATCATGAGTTCTCATTGAAGACATCTATTCTACTCTATTTTTGGATTGTTCGATTTTATGGCTACATGTGCATTAGATTTTTGTTGTATTTACAGATTTTTCAATTATATCTTCGGCTACATGTTTTTTTTCTATATTTTTGGATGTATTTAGTATACTTGGAACTATTGCTACTTGTAATGCTTTAAATGAATGAGTTTTCCACTTTCTGGGGTTGCTTTGTCACTGTGTTTTTCTTCTTGAACTTGTTTGAGTATGCCTAAGTGTCTATTGTTTTCGAATGTATTGTAAGAGGGAAGAATTTTTGTCCTTATTCTTAATAAATACTTTTTAATTGCTTTTGAAAAACAAGCAACAATGCACTTCATATTGCCTTTACAATATGTATCTATTGATAGATGTTCCTCATTTGTCAATAGATTTAGATCTCTATCGATAAATGAAGAGCATCTATCGATAGATACATATTATAAAGGCATAGTACCTAAAACAACCATCATCATTTATTGACAGATTCATGAATCAATCAATAGAATGGCAGAGTATAATGCAACACCTCATTCATCTATCGATAGATGACAACATCTATCTATAGTTTTTCACCCAGGAACAAGACATGCTTGGTAACTATCGATAAATGACAACATCTATCGATAGATTTTCACCGGAGAGCAAGACAAGCCTTGATAGCTATCGATGGATGCCAACATCTATTAATAGTTTTTCACCTGGGAGCAAGACAAGCTCGGTAGCTATCGATAGATGCCAACATCTATCGATAGTTGCAAAGAGATCCTAAATAACGTTTTTGAAACTATCAAGTAGATGAAGCTATCTATTGATAGTTTCTCACCCTAAAGCAAGACAGGCCAGGTAGCTATCAATAGATGCCAACATCTATTGATAGTTTCAGAGAGCTTTTGTGAAAATATCGATAGATGCATATATCTGTCAATAGTTTCTCACTTGGGAGCAAGACAAGAAGGTAGCTATCGATAGATGTCAACATCTATTGATAGGTTAGCAGAGAGTAGCATAGCACATCATTTATCTATCGATAGACATCATTGATCTATTGATAGAAGATCAACTGAGAACAAGGGTGGCCCGGTAGCTATCTATAGTTTTTGAAACTATTGATAGATAGAGGACTCTTGTAAAGCTCTATCGATAGATTAATAAATCTATCGATGGAGCTATTCATATTTTTTGAATATTTAAAGAACATCCATCGATAAATTACTTATCTATCGATGGATAGGTAAATATCCCAATATAAATAACTTCATCCATGTTTATTTTCTATTAATTCTTTTCCTTGTACAATACTATACTATTTACATTTTCAAATATAAGGATCTAACCGAAGAAAATACCATAAACTTAAGGATTAAAACTTTAAATAAGAAGATTGAAACAAAAGTTTAAAAGTTCCTAATATATTAACATCCATTCAAACACCAAGTATTCTTTACAACAAACAACCTTGAAACTGCAAACATTAATAAAGTTCTGAGTAAACAACAACTGAAAAAAGGTTCACATTAATAAACTAATAACTACTTGCCCATTCTAATTACTCTATATTGATGAGCCATTAAGCCTAAGCACTCTTTTCATATAAAAGATCTTGTACTCCTCTTACATGTTGTAGAAGTAATTAACCTTCTTCTGGTCAGTACAAATAATTTCTCTAACCGCACTAACATCATCACTTGTTAACCCTTAAAGACCTTAAAATCCCTTACAGATCTCAAAAACCTCCATACTCCTATCATCTTCAGTAGCCATGTATTTAAAACACTGGGTCAAGTTACCAATTTCAGTGGTTGCAACTTGACAAACACCCTTCAAATCACTTACATTGTTAAAAAATGCCAACTCCTCATAACTACTACTACCAGATTTCATCTTATCTTTTTTCTGAATTGAATTTACCTCAAGCAACATTGAATTCCTTCTTATTGTAGCAATGGATGTCTTAGTGTTGGCATTGATAGGTTGAGTACCTAACAAAGTCTCTAGAATGTTGACAAAAGCTCACATCATCATCTTCATGTTCACAACCCAATCTATTGAATGCATATGAAGTTACCCTTACTACTACTTCCTCTAAATCTATGTATAAAGGGCTTGAATTTTGAACCCTCGAAAGTGTCGACTCTCTAACAAGCATGTAGTTGACTAACTATGGGTTAAATTGCTCATCATTCCATTACATATAGTTTTTTAGTGTTGCTCAGTTGATGCTTCTTCTTGAAAAAAGTCTAAGATTATGATTCATAATGCAAAATTTGGCTCTTGATTCATCCTAAATGAAGTTAGAAATTAAAGTTGGCAACTGAAGTTACTGACCTATTGACAACATTTTTTTTGTTTTGCTTAGTAACCTATTGACGACTTAGACTATATTTTAACTTATATATGAATTA